AAAATAAAAATACACAATTTTCCCCTCTATCTACTTTGCTTCTGTGCAATTTCCTTCCCTCTCCTGCAGATTTCACCTCTGACAGCCTTGGCCTAGATATTTCTCCATCCTTGTCACATGTTTTCGCAGGTCTCATCTGTTGCCAGCTGTGGAGGAGAGGACGTGGAGATCAGCGCGGATGAGAAGTGAAAAGGATGACGGAAAACCAATCGATCCAAATCCTTCATCCTAATCTTGTTGACGTCCTCAGATGGAGCAGACAGCAGCCCTGGAGCCACATTGGAACGTTTAAGATGGGAAAAAATATTCATTTTTAAATTAAAATTCCAATTAATTGTTGAGTTTGTAACGATGTGAAGGTGAAGATCATTTATAAACCTGATTTAGTTCCCCAGCTTCTCCTATTCAAAACTTTTCTGGTGTTTGAGCTCACATTTGGAAGGTTTGAGACACTCTACCGCCCCCTTGTGGGGGAGTCTGGAACTGCAGACACAGAATTGGCTTTTAGGTCACTTTTCACCAGAAGGGCAACAACTATTGCACACACAAGTGTACTTTTATGACAAGTCATTCAGATCAAAGGGAAAAAATCACCACATTATTTACATTTTGACCTCTGGATTTTATTTCAAGCAAACATACAATCTTCTGCTGTTGATAGCTAAAGAAAAAATTGGCAAAAGTCCACAAGTAAATCTCAGTAAGACTCTTAAAAACTGTATACAAAAGACCCCCAAACTGCACATTTACATACATACATACATACATACATACATATATATATATATATGTATATATATATATATATATATATATATATATATATATATATACATATATATATATATATATATATGTATATATATATATATATACATATATATATATTTATATAAATATACATACATATATATATATATATATATATATATATATATATATATATATATATGTATGTATGTATGTATACATACATATACATATATATATATATATACATACATATATATATATACATACATACATACATATATATATATATATACATACATATATATACATACATATATATATATATATATATATATATGTATGTATATTTATATATATATATATGTATATATATATATATATATATATATATATATATATATATATATATATATATATATATATATATATATGTGTGTGTGTGTGTGTAGTAACACTTTAGTTAAGGGAACCCAAATTATCATCGTTAATTGGCTGCCAATTAAAATGCATGTTAGTGGACTACTAAGTCTGAGCTAGTCTTTATTAAGCTATTATTGGGTGCTTATTACCAATGCTGTAATTCTAACATTAACAGGTCATGAATTAAGAGTTTTATCAAAATAAGCCATTCATAATGGGTTGTTAACTGAAAGTAAACAGTTTGTTGCTGATTAACGCACATACTAAGTATCTCAAATCAATATGTGGCTTTTAAGGAAGTGATTAAAGGGGAATAGTTATTCTGCATTAATAACCAAAAATATTATGTTCTGATATTATGTAAATAAACACCAAACTCCACATGTTAATGGAGCCTAAACAACGATCAAGTAACCACTTGTAAGCAAGAATATGTTCCCCATTCTAATGTCAGATTTAGTTAATCCCTAATTACTAGTAGTTTAGTATTAATTAACCACTTAAGACAAGAATATGTTCCCCTTGAATTACTTCCTCAAAAACCACATATTGATTTGAGCTAATTAGTATGTGTGTTAATCAGCAACAAACTGTTTACTTTCAGTTAAACCATTATGAATGGCTTATTACGATAAAACTCCTAATTTATGGCGTGTTGATGTTAGATTTACGGCATTAGTAATAAGTGCTTAATAATGACTAGTTCAGAGTCAGTAGTCCACTAATATGCATATTAATTGGCAGCTAATTAATGATTAACTTGTGTTCCCTAAACTTAAGTGTTACATATATGGGTATATATATATGTATGTATATATATATATATATATATATATATATATATATATATATATATATATATATATATATATATATATATACATATATATACATATATATACATATATATACATATATATACATATATATTCTTATACTGTACATGGTGTGCAGTGATTATGAGATGTATATTTTCCTTTTCAATGATACAGAAACACTCTGAAGGCTGTACATTTAGAAAACACAACAAGAGCAACAGAAAGACTTTAAAACCCGACGATCGATGGCTCTGAAGGTTTCTACAGCGGCGTGTCTCTTCTGACACGCTAACGTTGTGTCGGAACATCAGCTAACACCACAGAGGAAAGGGTTTTGTTATCCAGAGCAGTGCACTCGTCGTTTACCACGTCCAGTGTTTAGCCACAGCCCAGGTGTGGCTGCAGAAATACTCGTTTACATAAATAAAACACGTGAAATATCGTCCTCAAGATGTAAAAAAGTAACAAAACATAAAGAAAACTACAACAAGACGATTTTCAAAAGGCTTTTGTCTTTAAGAGTCGACTTTCTTGGAAATTTGCAAATAAAAGCTCCAGATTTGTCTCTGATTGTTGACATTTGTTTTGTTTTGCTGCAGGAATTTGTAAAGAATTCTCCACATATGACACAAATACATTTAAAAAGTATAAATTCTGCTTTGCTCTTAGCAAATTTGGGATTTTAAAAATCAAAAATTGCATTTTAAAACTAAAATAAGTTGAAATCTCCAGTTTTCACCCTTTAACATCACTCCAGGGACATCTTTGGAATAAAAGATTTGATCACTAAACATACATCACTTCCATTTGTTCCTTTCACTTCCATCCTCTCCTCATGTTTGCAGCCACCATCTGCAGAGCCTTTGTCCCACCAGAACGCTCCTAAAGTCTCCGTAAAGCAGCACAAACATCATAAACTAGCACAAGGCACCTAATGTAAAGCAGCTATCTCTACTGTAGCAGCAGTACGGCTTTGGTTCAACTTCTAACGGAGATCCACTTTTCTGCTCCGCGTCCCGCGGATGGAGAGATGGATGAGAGGAGATGATGATGATGATGAGACAAGAGACTGAAAGCTTCCACGTCACTTTAGCAGAAGGATGAAATAAAGAAGATACAAAGGTTAAATGAACAGAAGAGATGTCTAGTGACAGAGTGATTTGGGTTCATTTGAAATTCATTCAGAAACAGGAAGTGTTTAAGTTCTAATTCTAGTTCTGAAATAAACAAAAATCATTTCAATTAATCAGTCTTTGAAAAACTATTGCTATTTTATTCTCTTTTTAACACTGGAAGTACGTTTGTGGGAGTCTTTAAGGTTAAATGAAATTTTTGCTCCATGATTTTTTGGGTACATTTTTGATCCATTTGACCTAAATCTGAGCTTTTGTTTGTATTAGAAGCTTAAAGGACTTTTTTAATTTACTGTCCTGTAACTCAAAAACGATCTCAGCAGCGAAGATGGTTGAAAACAAAATCCTGAGTTTATTAAAAGTGAAATCTGAAACTGTTATTAACGCTAGTGTTAGAAAAACATTCGTCCACACGTTTAGCCTATGGATGGGAATAACGACAGCATCCGTGACCCCTATGCATCATGTCCTTTAAACTCCAAACCCTTATTAGCATAAATGAGGACGGACAACTCCAGATCCACACGATTTCACTGACCCTAAAACTTTTCTCACAATAGATTTGGTCACATTCCCTAATTTAGCTCTAGTGGTGGTAATAAGCTAAATAAAGCTGTCAGAATGAGAGCAAAACACACTGACACTAAGAAATTTACCACCGGTATTTTGTGTTATGCCCCCCCACCCTCCACCCCACCCCCACCCACCCGTGGGCTTTGTGGAGTCGTGTCCAGCTACTTTCTTCCAGATGATTTAATTCCCAAGAATCTAAAATCTTGAGAAAACAAACTCCTGCAGGAGCTCTTCTCCACGTTGTTAGCAGCACTTTGTCCTTTAACTCTTAGGTGGTGTTGAGCACATTTGCGTTCATTTTCTATTTATTATAGACTGATAAAAGCTATTTTGGTTTCATATTATATGCTACTGTATTTTTTACCTTTTATTTTTTCATAAACACTAAACCGCACAGATCTGCCCCCTGCTGATGAAACCACGTAAATACAACCACCTTAAACAAGGACTCTGGGTATTTTTGGCTTTAAGTGATCAGAAAATGCTTTTTAAACTACTTATGGTTAAAGTGTGTTTCTGTAGTTACTCGTTCAAAATAACATTCAAACTACTTTATACTGCATTTCAATTATTATTATACTCAATGGAAAAATCTCATATTTAAAAGCACAGCAACTGTGGGGGGCTTTAATAAATTAGAATAATTTGTTGAATTATCCCATATGCAGACTGTGGGTGTTATTCTAAAGTTCTTTGGTTTAAAAGAACAGGATAAACAAGTCAACTAGTGGAATTTAAAGCTGCTTTTTTTATATAATGAAAATAATCTACATTCAGCTTTTCATTTTGGAAGCAACAAAGAGGCTAAATAAACCCACAGAATGCTTCGGGTGCAGCCTGAGATACTTTTATGTACCTGTTGTCTGCTAAATAGAATCAGAAGACTATCATGTTTTTATAAGGCGACATTAAGGCCAAACAAACCAGCTACTGCGTCATCGCAACTATTTCTGCTGGTAACAGTCACTAAAAATGCAGATAAAGCTCTACGGAGACACAAGAATCACTTTCTAGTGCTCGCACATGTCTATTTCTGCTAATGCTGTAGGGTTCACACACACACACACACGCACACACGCACACACACACACTACCTACATGATAGATTCAGAACTAACAACATTCAGGTTCTCCTGCTCTACCGTACGCCTCCTTACAGTGCTGCAGGATCTGAGTCCTACGGAGAGTTTCGGGACAACAGGTTTGCACACAGGCAACACCAGTTAGTCCTAAACATGGAGGGCCGGGCAGAGAGGAGACAGAAAGACACGACAGGAAGTGAAAACAAGGAAAGAGTCAAATACAAGTCGTTAGCATCATCATGATTCCAGTTTCAACACAAAAACAGTGACATAACACTTTAGCTGCTGCTGAAGGCAGACTACGTGTGTCAGTGTGAAATCACAACTCTTCAGTTCGTTGTGACATCAGCACTCTGAGCCCTTAGCGATCTGCAGCTACAGATCCATCCCATGATGCATTGGGCCACACCGTTCTCCCCCCAACCTACTTTCAGGAATACTGCGTGTTGTTATGAACACATGAACCTTTTCTTTGTTCAGTTCAGGTCCAGATGTGGCGAACAGAACCAGAGCGAATAAATAAATCAGACTGAGGTTTCAGGCCGCGCCCCGACGTAGGCTGTCCTCTGCTTTGAGCCGTCTGCAAAGCGGAGGAGCGGGGTGAAGGTGCAGTAGCCTGGTGCTCGTTGCCAGCGTGTGAACATGACTTTCTTGTTAGTGGTTTCAGACCTTCGAGGGTTTGGGGCGTTCCGTTGGTTTTCCGAGCCTCTCCGGTGGCTGCCGGCCTTCAAGTGGTGGTGGAGAGACGCCAACGGGGTGAACTCCGAGAGCTGGCCTTTGTACAGTTTGTCAGCATTCTGTATGAAGTAAAGGAGGCAGTAAAGGTTTAAAGATTTTTCAGTAAAACCTGATGATAAAGGACGTGGAGGTGATTTCTTCTCCAAGCCGGCCAAGGACAAATCTTTAATTTAGAAACTCTTTAAATGTTTTAGGTCCACTGATGGAATGCCAGACCAGGCAAAAGAAAACACGAGTCCTTTTAAACATGCAACATAAACCAATCCATGAAACCATAAACATGCACATGTAAACACAACCCGAGCATGCAGGAGTCTGCAGGAACAGACTGAGAGATTAACCACCAGATGGCGCCAACACTCCACATAATGACCCCATCAGCTGGAAATGTTACCCAACACCTAAAAGGAGGTTAAGGTGCCAAGCTCAGCAAACCCCTCCAATACTGTGACCATTTTAGGACTTCCTTAGATCTCAGGGGAACACCTTAAAGGGACACTCCACCACTAAGTGAAATCTAGTTAAGTTTAACCAGTTCAAGTGGAAACCAGACCAGTCATCCTCCTGATATGTCAGTCTTCCATTAGCTTTAGCTTAGCATAAACAATATAAGTGAATGGTAACAGCTAGCATTTCAATTAGTCAAGTTCAAACAGACACCGACTTCCATAAACACTGTAGGCATTTACCCTGGAGAGTTTTCTGAAGGGACACCATGGTGAGTTGATAAAACTGGCCGATGATGTAAGTGTGACGGCCTCCTCTTGTTGTCCGTCCAGGGTTATTGGAGTTGCCTCAAATCACCGCACACATACAATCAGGCCACAGACACAGGACTGTCCTTCAGAGCTTTTTACTGGCAGGATCTGATGTAAAAACAAGCACACAATAATACATCAGTGTGTGTGCGCTGCAACTGCATACAACGGTCTCCACCAGCTTTCATTACTGCTTTTCCTTTTTTTTCCATCATATGATCGTATAGTGGCATTTAATAACAACAGCAATATATTAATTTAACAACTTGCATTTCAGAGCAATACATACTTTCTTTTTGATAAAACATATAAAATAGTTAATAGTACCAACAATGACAGCGCAGCCGCCGACAGTTGAAACAGTTAACTGCCATCAGTAGGTATAACAGTCAACTGCCACCGGCAGTTGAAACAATAAAACATTTACAAATCATATTTTTACCAAACACATCTGAACGTACCTGATGTAAAAACAAGCACACAATAATACATCAGTGTGTGTGCGCTGCAACTGCATACAACGGTCTGTTCAAGGCAAAAAGAAAAAAACCCAAACATTACTAAAAGGACTGAAAAGCTAGCTTCCATTAGTGTGAATCTCGTCTATAAAGTTATTAATTTAATGCAAACACAGCTAACCTTTTTCAAAATATGCTCTAACAACACTTAAATATTTGTAACAAGTCCTATTGATATATTAATTAAAGGTTAAAATGACTTAAAGTGCAGAGCGGCTTCACAGTACACCTACCTCCACCAGCTTTCATTACTGCTTTGGTGGGAGGGGCTGTGAATGCGCCTGAAGGACCCGTTGCATGCAGTTGCGCCTAACCACCAGTAGGCGGCTCCAAAAACACAAACAATCACTGCACATTACTTTTGGTGAAATTCACATTTTCATCTCTGTTACACCCACCCCTGCTGAATTTCAGCCAAAATTATGAAAGTGCAAATACCATCACCATGACACAAAACCTCACATTACTCAACGTGGGTGTACACAGTTCAACTTAAACAGTATCCTCTATAAAGGATGAAGTGGCAAGGAAATGGCGCCCTATTCCCTACCAGCTCCTGGAAGCAGGATGCAGCCTACATCCTACATAACCCACGTGTAAAACAAAAAGAAGCCCCTAAACCAGGACTAGTACTAAGTTATGGTATATATCTATTATAAAATACAAAACACAGAACAAAGAACAAGATACAACTTGTTTAGAAAAGGGCATATTATTATACATGCCTCTACTGAAACATTTGAAAAACTGAATTAAAAACTGTCCATAAGCTGACCAGCATCGTCACTAATAGCCATGTTGGTCATCACCTGAATCAGCCTATTGACAGGCTTGACTGTCCTACCAACACGGGTTCTGACTGTGTGGACTGAGTCAGTGCCAATAGCAGACTGAGCAACCAGTGAAGTGTGTGAGAGAACACTCTGTCTATCAGCAGAGGGAACTAGCAAGGGATAAGGGTCATAGCCCGTCACACTAGGGGACAACAGAAGCCCCTCGTCTCCCTCCACTGCAGAGACCATCTCGCTGACGGAGTTGTTCATGTGAGCAGCATTACGGGATGCATCAGGTAAGGAGCTGACCCACTCTTGGGTTCTGATTCTTGAATCATTCTTTTCAACAACCAGTTCCGGTGTATCTGATGCAGTAGTAACATCAGATCCATCAGGTAAAAGGGCAGAAGAGTCGACAGACTGACTGGCTGTATCAAAGGGCAAGAAATTCACAAGCATCAAGAGGTTACGATGCACAACTCTGACCTGACCAGTGTTGGGATGCTGTATCTGATATGTGTGGGTTGTAGGATTCATGCCCACGACAGTAAACACTGTAGACTCCCAGCGGTCAGCAGTTTTACGCTTCCCTCTCTCCCGTTTGTTCGAGACTAGGACACGGTCTCCGACACCAATAGGTTTTCCTTTTGTGCGGCGGTTGTAGAGGCAGGCCTGCCGTTCCTGTTCCCTGTCGGCATGACTTAGAGCTATGGCCATGGCGTCCTGGAGATCTTTTGTCAGGGATAGCACATACTTGTCATAGCCACACAGTTCAGGATCTCTAAGAATGTTCTTAAAAAGCACATCAACAGGGAGGCGTGGCACTCTTCCATACATCAAATAAAAAGGGGCATAGCCTGTAGTCTCGTTGACTGTGCAATTGTACATGAAGGTTAATGTCTGAAGGTGTTTTGGCCAGTTCTGTTTTGCATCAGGTGGGAGAGCTCTTATCATGTTTCCCAGTGTTCTGTTGAAGCGTTCTGCGCTACCATTGCCCATCGGGTGGTAAGGGGTTGTATGGGATTTCCTCACACCCGCAACTTCCAACAGTTCCCTTATGAGCTGACTCTCAAAGGAGGGACCCTGGTCCGAATGTATCCTTTCAGGAAACCCGTATATACAGAAAAATTTGTCCCAAAGCTGCCTCGCCACCTGCTTTGCAGATTGGTCACGACAAGGAAAGGCCTGTGCAAGTCGTGTGAAATGGTCGGTCACAATCAACACGTCAACAGACTTGTTATTGGAGTCCTCTGCAGTCCAAAAATCAATGCACACGACCTCCAATGGTGAAGATGTTTTGATACTTTCAAGAGGTGCTCGACCTTCTGGATCAGGGGATTTGCCAATAACACACCGGGGACACTGGCGAACATAGTCTTTAACATCACGGTCAATGTGGGGCCAGAAGAACCTCTGACGAGCAATAGCCAAGCTCCTAAACTGCCCTTGATGACCAGCACTGTCATGAATCCCCTTGAGAACCTCAGCCTTTAGAGAATCAGGAACTACAAATTGGTGACGCCTCTTGTTGGTTACTGGGTTTTTAGAAAGTCTGTACAGGATTCCATTGGACATTGTAAACTTTTCCCAGTGTTTGAGGTACCTGGTGACCATGGCTTGCTCTTTGGGTTTCTCTCTTCTGGATGGGCGACGGCCACGGGCAACATAGTACAACACCCTTGATAGGACAGGGTCGTTTTGTTGTTTCTCACGCAACTCGGTTTCTGAAAAGACAGGTAGGTCATCCTGAACTGGAAGGATTAGCTGAGGTAGGTGTTCGAGGGTGTTAACAGCTCGTAGCCTAGCAGCAGATTCCCATGCACTTTGTGTTTCGAGAATAGCATGGACATCATCTTTTGTGAAGGACTGAAACTTTGTGCTGTTAGGGAGTTGCGACATGCTGGAGTGCTGGTCCTTGGCGTTCGACTGCCTAAAAGCCTCCTGGACTGAGCCAACTGAGACAGGGAGGGCCTCATTAAGGAGCTGGCTGTACGGTCTTTGCAACAGCTTCCTTACTACAGTCGACTTAATAAATGGCTCGCGACTTAAGGCATCCGCCACCAAATTCTTTGAGCCAGGGATATATTTAATGTCAAAGGCATAAGAAGCCAGCTTTGCCACCCATCGCTGTTCACAGGCATCCAAATGTGGCTTGGTGAGGATGTGCGTGAGTGGGTTGTTATCCGTCCACACTGTGAACATATGTCCTTTCAGCCAATGGCTGAATTTGTCACACACCGACCATTTGAGTGCCAAAAACTCAAGGCGATGGGCTGGATACTTTCTTTGAGCACGTGTGAGAGACTTGCTTGCAAATGCCACTGGCCGGGCCACACTCTCACCTTCCTGAACCTGTGATAGGACTGCACCCAAACCATCCAATGAGGCATCTGTAAACAGAACAAATGGGCGAGTGAAGTCTGGGTGGGCCAGAATTACTGAGTTGACCAAAGCTGCTTTAAGCTCCATGAATGCAGAATGGTGTTCATCTGTCCAGTCAGCTTTAGTCAATTTGCGAAGCACAAGCTTACGCTTGGTGGGCATCTTCAACTTGCGTTTCTGTTTTGCACCAGCAAGCAGATTAAAGAGTGGCCTGGCTACAGAGGAATAGTTGGGGATGAAATGCTGGTAGTAGTTAATCATGCCTAGAAACGAGCGAACACGAGATGGGGAAGGGGTGACGCCATCTGGTTCCATGAGATCTGCAGTTGACATGTTACTGATGGACTCAACTTTAGCGGGATCTGTGGATACACCAGACTCATTGATTATGTGTCCAAGAAACTTCACAGATCTTCTCATTAGCCAACATTTCTTTGGAGCAAGCTTCAGGTTGTGGAACCGCAGGCGGCCGAACACCATCTCCAACCTCTTGAAAGTCACCTCTTCAGAGGGGCCAAACACCAGCAAATCATCAAGGTAGCACAATAGACTGAGAAAGTTCTGGTCACCAAATATGGACATCATCATCCTCATGAAACTAGCTGGGCTGTTGCACAGTCCCTGGGGGAGCCTGTTGTATTCGTACAATCCCATGGGTGTTGTAAAGGCAGAGTATTTTCGGTCATCTTTGTGTAGTGGCATGTTGTAAAAACCAGATGTGAGGTCCATTGAGCAGAAGAATGTGTTCCCTCCCAAAGCAGCTAAGCAGTCTGCTTGATGTGGTAAGGGATGGGCATCCTTCAGTGTTCGCCTGTTGAGCCATCTGAAATCTGTGCAGATCCGCAAGTCACCATTCTTCTTCCAAACTAGAACGAGGGGTGAGGCAAACTCACTGGTGGATTTGCAGATTATTTCCTTCTCCTCCATTTCATTTAGGACTTGACGAAGCTTCTGGTATTCAGCAGGCGGCACACGGCGATAGGGCAACCGAAAGGGTCTCTCATCAGTGAGTCGAATCCTGTGCACAAACCCTTTTGCCTCTCCGCAGTCTAAGTGGTGGCGGGAGAACACATCCTCATAGCTGATCACAAGGTCAGCCAGCTTTCTCCGCCAACCATCTGACACGTCACAAGACTGCAGGTCCAGATCACCCAGACCAACACTTTTCAGTCTCTCCTGCACACAGTCATTGTTTTCCGCTGTAGGATCAACAGTGCTTTTTACAGTGGTAGCTTGATATGAGCATGTTACATCTTGCATAACCAAGTCCTCCATAGCAAGACAGGTGTAGACATCAGCCAGTTTAGCATTTCTACGAATGGTTACAGGACAACTGGAAGCATTTAGGATCTTGAGAGGGACAAATCTGTCTCCCCAGAGTTGTGTCAACGCTCTTGCCACCAATATGCCTCTGGGAGCAGAGTGGGAAGTTGTGGGTTCAGACATCACAGTCAAGCCAGGTGATAACCTTGTATCCTTGGGAAGTTTGCCCCATAAAAGATATTCAGTTCCAGCCTCCAAAGTGACAGCTGTGTTACATCTCACAGTTCCGATTTTGTCTGGGACATCCTCACCAGAACGACGATCCAGGCCAGCAAGCAGAGAGAGGAACTCCTCAAGCTCAGGGTGATCTAGGTTTGGTGTGGAAATAGCTTCCCAATAGGGGGAGTCATTCTTTAGCTGGTGTAACAGATGCCTGATGACATTGGAGCCCACGAGCAGATCAGCCTGTTGGTTATTTACAACAAAGGTGGGGACCAATAGCTTGCATCCATAGATCTCCATCTCCAGATCTATTATTGAAGTTGGTTTCACTCTGGCACCACCACATCCCACAAACACAACATCAGTACCCTCCTGATGAGAGATAACAACACCCGCATTAATTAGCGACTGCAGGGCTACTTCACTCAGTGAGCATGCCATCGAACCACTGTCCAGCATGGCATCAAGAGTCACTTTGCCATCGACTTTAACATGCATATAAAACAAGCTGTCACTGTTTTTGACCCTTTGTGTGTCCTGAACAATAACATTTTCTGATTCATTCAGTTTCTGTATATTTTGGTACAATTCAGCAGCATCAAATGTGTGGGAGATTTTACCTTGACCCATGTGACCTCCCTCCAGACATAGGTCACCTAGTTTCCCTGCATATTTTCTGTAGGGGAAGTATTGGTTGGGCAGGACCATCTCGTGTGGTCTGGGCTGAAACATGTGAAACAGAGTCGGTCTGAACGGCAGTGGGTTTCTGTTGTATGCTTGTCATCATTGCACACCCGACAGTTCATAACAGATCTGGCCCGGCCCTTTGTGCGCCCACGACGAGCATATGAGGGCTGACCACTAGGCTGAACTTTGGTGAGAAGCTCCCTGAGCATCGACACTATGTCACCAAGCATGGCACCCTCTTGTGGCTGACTGAGTGGGGCAGAAGCTGGAGACTGGAACTGGCATTGCACTTCTGTGCATTTACTCTGCTGCTTCATAGGCTGTAGGGAAGGAAAACATGTCTGTGCAGCTGGAGTAACTGAATCACCTTGGAACTGCTGGTTCTGCACCATCGCAGGTGCATAGGATAAAGGAGCTTCAGTGGTTGGCTGCACAACATGATGGAGCAGAACACCATCAGGCATATGTACATTACTGGAGACTCTGGGCTCAACGTGTGTCTCAAAACATAGTAATTGGGCTGCAGATGGTTTGTGCATTGGTGTTTTAATACTGGACAATCGCTCTCTTTGGTGTTCATCTAGCCTCTCCTGAATGTCTTTGGGGGTCCACTCATGAATCTGTTTGTACTTAAACACTGAAACTAGTTCTGTATCAGGGCAGTGCTTTACAAACATTTTAGCAATTTCGCTACCAATATCCTCAATGCGCTTCCCTTGACGCTTCAGACCTTCCTCAGCCATGTCTGCAGCCTTATTAAGGCGAATCCAGTAATCAACAGCATCCTCTTTCTGGAGTGGCAGTGTGGAGTAGAAATCTTGTAGAGGCAGACAGGAGGATGTGTTACTGAAGTACTGTATCAGCATGTTATAAATTACATCTGGGGAGGATGTAGCATTTAAGGCAGGATTACTTCTAAGGCCAATCTTAACTACATCTCTGGCTCTACCCATCAACTTCCCCATAATTTCCTCTTTTTGCATAGAAACATCATAGTTCTGCCGTCTAAGGTAACCTCTCATCATTTCAACCCACTCAGTAACAGTGTACTTGTCAGAATTGTCACCTTTGAAAACTGCAGGTGAGGTTTCTGATTTTACAATGACATTAAACCTTTGACCATCTGAGACAGAAGCGTCCTCAACATTGGCACTGTCCTGTTTCTGACAGGTACCACAGGCTTCTTTTCCCCCAGCAACGCCAGAAGATAACAGTTTATTTGCAATTGATTCCCCAATCTGTGAACCTAACTGATAAATCATGTCACTTATTTGGTGTAAGTCATTACCAACAACAGGTGTTGAGTGACTCTGGCCCCCAAATAACATCTGACCAGTAGGTGTCTCATCTGGATCCCGAGCTAATCCCTGGGGTTTACTACTACTCGCAGGTAGTATAGGTGATGCACCCAAATCAAACCCAACAGCACAACCGGGCTGAAAAGTAAGTCCCATTACACCTCTACCTCTCCCAAAAGAGGGGTGACTGTTCACAGTTTTACCACTTGGTTCAAATCTCTTTGCCATGTTAAGATAAAGCAGAAATAAAACACACTCAATTAAAATCCAGTGGTAATTAGAAATAGAACTACTGTTTCCCTTAGTTCATAAACCTTGTGACCCAATTGTGGAGGTCTTGAAGTGAAGAGGTAACTTGCAGGTAGACGACACAGTAACCTCCGGTGAACCGCATCAAGCTGCTCAGCAATCCGGGAGTCACGGCACCAGTGTGACGGCCTCCTCTTGTTGTCCGTCCAGGGTTATTGGAGTTGCCTCAAATCACCGCACACATACAATCAGGCCACAGACACAGGACTGTCCTTCAGAGCTTTTTACTGGCAGGATCTGATGTAAAAACAAGCACACAATAATACATCAGTGTGTGTGCGCTGCAACTGCATACAACGGTCTCCACCAGCTTTCATTACTGCTTTTCCTTTTTTTTCCATCATATGATCGTATAGTGGCATTTAATAACAACAGCAATATATTAATTTAACAACTTGCATTTCAGAGCAATACATACTTTCTTTTTGATAAAACATATAAAATAGTTAATAGTACCAACAATGACAGCGCAGCCGCCGACAGTTGAAACAGTTAACTGCCATCAGTAGGTATAACAGTCAACTGCCACCGGCAGTTGAAACAATAAAACATTTACAAATCATATTTTTACCAAACACATCTGAACGTACCTGATGTAAAAACAAGCACACAATAATACATCAGTGTGTGTGCGCTGCAACTGCATACAACGGTCTGTTCAAGGCAAAAAGAAAAAAACCCAAACATTACTAAAAGGACTGAAAAGCTAGCTTCCATTAGTGTGAATCTCGTCTATAAAGTTATTAATTTAATGCAAACACAGCTAACCTTTTTCAAAATATGCTCTAACAACACTTAAATATTTGTAACAAGTCCTATTGATATATTAATTAAAGGTTAAAATGACTTAAAGTGCAGAGCGGCTTCACAGTACACCTACCTCCACCAGCTTTCATTACTGCTTTGGTGGGAGGGGCTGTGAATGCGCCTGAAGGACCCGTTGCATGCAGTTGCGCCTAACCACCAGTAGGCGGCTCCAAAAACACAAACAATCACTGCACATTACTTTTGGTGAAATTCACATTTTCATCTCTGTTACATAAGCATCTTTTTGGGCTGCTGCGTCTTGTCCTTGCACCTTGCAGCGGCAGGTTACAGCAGTGCTTTTTCATAATGTAGCCTGAGGTTCTCTTGTAATTCCTCCATGTTACCTTTTATTTGCATTTGAAGTCTGAATATGATTATTGGGGTCACCAAGAAAGATTAGGATCATTACTGAGTCATTTTCATTTACATTGTTTATGCTAAGCCAGTTGAGGTGGCTCGGGCATCTGGTCAGGATGCCTCCTGGACGCCTCCCTGGTGAGGTTTTCCAGGCTCGACCAACCAGGAGGAGGCCTAAAGGGAGACCCAGGACACGTTGGAGGGACTGTGTCTCTCACCTGGCCAGGGAGCACCTTGGGATTCCCCCGGAAGAGCTGGTCCAAGTGGCTGGGGAGAGGGATGTCTAGGCCTCTCAACTTAGCTACTGCCCCCGCGACACGACTCCGGATAAGCGGATGAAAATGGATGAATGGATGTTTTCCTGAAACCTGATGCGTTTTTACCCTGAAGGATGTTTTCCTGGTACCTGATGTTTTTTTTACCCTGAAGGATGTTTTCCTGAAAACTAATGCTTTCTACCCTGAAGGATGTTTTCCTGATACCTGATGTTTTTTACCCTGAAGGATGTTTTCCTGATACCTGATGTTTTTTACCCTGAAGGATGTTTCCCTGGTACCTGATGTTTTTTTTACCCTGAAGGATGTTTTCCTGATACCTGATGTTTTTTACCCTGAAGGATGTTTCCCTGGTACCTGATGTTTTTTTTACCCTGAAGGATGTTTTCCTGATACCTGATGTTTTTTACCCTGAAGGATGTTTCCCTGAAACCTGATGCGTTTTAACCCTGACGGATGTTTTCCTGAAACCTGATGCGTTTTTACCCTGAAGGACGTTTTCCTGATACCTGATGTTTTTTTTGCCCGAAGGATTTTTTTCCTGAAACCTGATGTTTTTTTACCCTGAAGAATGTTTTCCTGAAACCTGATGCTTTCTACCCTGAAGGACATTTTCCTGATACCTGATGTTTTTTTTTGCCCGAAGGATTTTTTCCTGAAACCTGATGTTTTTTTACCCTGAAGAATGTTTTCCTGAAACATGATGCTTTCTACCCTGAAGGATGTTTTCCTGGAGCCTGATGCGTTTTACCCGGAAGGATGTTTTCCTGATACCTGATGCTTTCTACCCTGAATGATGTTTTCCTGATACCTGATGCTTTCAACCCTGAAGGATATTTTCCTGATACCTGATGCTTTCTACCATGAAGGATGTTTTCCTGATACCTGATGCTTTCTACCATGAATGATGTTTTCCTGATACCTGATGCTTTCTACCTTTAAGGATGTTTTCCTGATACCTGATGCTTTCTACCCTGAATGATGTTTTCCTGATACCTGATGCTTTCAACCCTGAAGGATATTTTCCTGATACCTGATGCTTTCTACCATGAAGGATGTTTTCCTGATACCTGATGCTTTCTATCCTGAAGGATGTTTTCCTGATACCTGATGCTTTCTACCTTTAAAGATGTTTTACTGATACCTGATGTCTTTTTTCCCTGAAGGACGTATTCCTGAAACCTGATGTTTTTTACCCTGAAGGATGTTTAGTTTACCTGATACCTGATGCATTTTTGTCTGTAGTCTCAGGTCTGGGACGTTTTGTCCTGAAGTTGGTTCCCTGAGATCTAGGCAAGTCCTAAAATGACCACTGTATGGAAACTCAATACACCGTCACACTGGAATAATTTGTGCGTTTTACCATACTGAAGCAAGCTAGACTTCTGTGACAGCTACTCCATCTAGTAACGAGTCTGAACTCTGGGAAGCCAGGCCTCTCTCAGGCCTTTTCATATCCCTCACATGCTGTGGACAAGTAAACACAGAAACACATTTGGAGGTAAAAAGAAAAATAATCCTAACATTCAATCTAAAATCTGCTGAGTCAAAACAATGACTCAGATGTACAAACATGCACAAAATCTATGAAATAAGTTCATGCAAAGAAAGCAGGAAGGACTGGATGCAGGAAATAAAGATACATTAAGACCAGAGGAAAGGCAGAGGGTCACCTCCTGAAGGGTGGGGTTAGAAACTGATTCTGCTGGAGGTCTGGGACAGCATAAAGATGGTGGAAGGCTCAGAGGCAAGGCACCGACGCTTAGTCTACCACAGAGGATGGAGAATCAGCCAGGAGGAGAGGGAAAAAAGGGGAGGAGTTACAACTCTGGAATGTATGAACGTTTATAACAAATAAAGTAGGAAGGTGCTAAACCTCCAAAGAGAGTTAGTATCA